TGTCGCGTGCACGTCGCCAGTGGATGTGAGGTCAGCGATGGATCTATTGTGGTCGGAGGCCGACACGCCCAGCACGATGTGGCTCCGGAGCCAGGGTAGCAGACCATCTGTCTTGGTGCCGGAGAGTGTGACTCCACCTCGCCGACATTTCCCGCGGCCTCCCGCGCCCTCTGCCTTGCATGGTGGGCACGCCGCGCCATACCCTCAGCAGACGGGTTACAAATAACCTCGCCGTCGACGCGCCAACGAAGGGGCTGCGGGTCCGCCACGGTGTTTGGACGCCAGACAGACCACACCGCCTCCCGCGAGGCAGCGACGACCTGCCATGCGCTGGATCCACGCACCATTTGGGCGGACGTGATAGATTCCTAGCGGAACGAGTCCAACCGCTGCCAGGCATTCTACTCGCGGGCGCGGTGGAGCGCAATGCGGACGGTCATCTCCTTCTCGGTCCGGCTGGGATGAGGTCCCAGTTTCCAAATTGGCTGATGGAGGACTTGAACGTTGCTCGCCATGCCGGAGAAGGACGGAGATCGCCGAAAGTGAGCTTGGGCGGAGGGGAGTGGAGTGGCCTGGCTAGGATTGGGTCCGGCAATCGGATGGAGTTGAATATATGTTGGATCGGGGTGGGCCAGCATGGGCCAGATCCGACGTGATGGATGCGCCCGAGCCTCCCCATATCTGTCACATATTTGGGCTAGATATGAGGGGTGCTGGTCATCCCGAACATTTGAGGCCGGTTTGAGGCACCCGTCTAGGTTGCTTTTTTAAACCGGTCACCGCCAGGGCCATTCGACCAGGCGTTTGAGGGGGGTTTGAGGCGCTCGCCTATAGATGCTCTAACACCTTTGGTTCCTACGGGTTGTCACGTATGGCATTTTGGATATGTGGTTGCGTGGTGGCTATGCTATCCTATCCTTTCTATGGTGTTGATGTTGGCAAAGCCTCTACTTTCGTATGGTTCAGTTGGCCAACTAGTCTCCAACGCCAACCCCCAAACAGGTACCACCAGCGCTCACAACAGATGTCGCGGGTGGAGCGGTAGGATATGAGTAGCACCTCGCTGGTGGTGAGTTGCAACCTCCGCATGTCGGTGCTCGTCGAGGAGGCGGAGGTTGTAGGCCTGGTCGGCTTGCGCTTGTGGAACGCGACCTCCCGCTCTTCCAACAACATGTCAGTGTAGTGAACCCGTGCCTCGTGCATGGTGATGCCGACGAGGATGGTGGCACTCGCTCATTGTCGGTTGCCTCTTTCATTGGCTCGTCTGTAGCGCTGGCCTTCGAAGATCTCGTCCGTCTGCCTGCCTGCCAGTCAGCTGGAATGTCGGTGATCTTCTTCTTCTGTTCATACGACAGGCTATTCTAGAGGGCTTTGGAGCTCGAGGAGGTCATCGCGGGTGTGGTGCTGAGAGTAGATAGGGATCAGAGGAGGTTGGATATGGTTATTGTCGGGCCTGGTGTTTAAATAAAGGACGGATGGCAGGACATGCAGCGAGGTGGTTAATGGTGGGCGATACACAGACAGATGGGTGGCATCGGAGTAGGTTCATCGGCAATTGCGCATGTTTAATGCAGGAAGGCAGATGGACGGGTTGTCGTTTAAACGCGGAGAAGATGTGTGCACCAGGAAGCGGCACCAGTGGTGCGCCGCTTCAATGCCAGCTCCAGTGAGAGGTCGCGTCCCCTCTGGACTGACGTGAATGTGTCACAGACACTCTGGATCGGTGCTGATCTCTTCGGGCAGGAAAGGGTGCGGGCGAGGGAGATGGTTTTGGGTGGGGTCAGGTTGTTAGAGGCGTGTGTGGCAGCGGTTCGGACACCCGCATCCCCCTCCCCACGGCTTGTTTCCGATTTGCATGAAAAAAGACGGCCAAAGTGGCCAGTAGATGGATACAGAGGTCCGTTGGATGGCAAAATGTAACTGCATCTAGTGTCACCCTTAGTTGGTTTTGCAGTATTGACGACAAACTTGGTCCAAGGACTAATGTGTTTGTGAGATTCACAGGAGAACACGGGTAGAAGTCCCTATTGATTCGGTTTACCCATCAAAGATGACCTTTAAAAATGTATGAAGGCATTGGTGGTTCACGAAGACATTCGTGTTGAAGATAATGACGCATGAAGACATTCACTTGAAGACAATGGAGTACGAAGACATAGTTTATTTCGTAGTTTCATTTCCTTTTTTCTTGAGTCATAGGAACCACTGAACTGCTAAGTCGGGTCCAGGTGAACAAAGTCAGAAAACTGGCGTGATGCTCAGCCAAAATCCTATGTCTTCGAGAGAAGGCAAATGGCAGAAAATCTTATCCTATGTTGGATGAGTCAGCTTTGCTTGTAGCCCAAGTCAAACTGTCGCGTGTGTTTGAAATCCGACCGTTGGACATGTGCTGATTTTCCATTGACCCATGGTTATTTCGTACATATCATGTCGGTGAATAGCCCCCCTCCCTCCAACATAAATTGGTGACTGCTCCGAGTTAGTGCACGGCTTTTGTCGTTTGAGAGCAACCCACCTCTGAAGCCTTTGAGAGAGAATCCTTGCGAGGACAGAACCTAAAACACCCAGAGCCCAATGATTGTTTGCATCACTGAAGTCTTTCTGTTCCACGTGAACTGAAAAATTATTACACTCAAAGAATGTGATCTTCCAGTCGGTTAGGCGTCGCATTCTGCGTATCCAAGAGTCATTGTGAATTGCCGGTGAACGAAGTATGTGAAGGTTTGGAAGTCTACCTTGAAGATTTACCTGAGTGATTGGGCAAGGTCTAAGTGACCTCAGCTCAAGGGGAATAAGGTGAAGACGTGGTCTTCTGAGTTCAATCTCAGCCTCCCGAATTAGAGGTACAGTTGCCACAGCAACTGGAACTGGTCTATCAAATCCTTGTCTTCATCGAGCAACTGATTCTATCACTGCACTCCATACTTACAATTTAGCTTCGTGAAGTCATTGCTTGTCTGCTTTCCTTGTGTGAAGACATTCACTCTGATTGCATATTTGGCTTCATCTTGTCTTCCTATTCTGATCCGGTCCACCTAGCAGCTGCTTGTCTTCGTGTGACTCTATTGCATGGCTAGGGTAGTTTATGTTCCATGGTATCATGTTTAGTTATTGTTTCAACTGTCTGTCTTCAAAAACATTGCATGTTTCGAAGACTTTCATAAAAATCGCCTATTCACCCCCCCTCTAGTCGATAAGTAGCACTTCCACAAAACACGTGTAGACCACGTGATCCAGATGAAAATGGGGCGGTCTGAGGGTCCGCGTTGAAGATGCCCTAACAAATATAACCGAGTACAAGCTTTTAGATAGGATGGGGACTACATGCATGCACCCTCCACCTCAGAGAATTAGGCTCAATTCTTTTTAGTAGATTATGGAGAATCTCGGTCTGAGAAATCTGAAGTCAAAAGAATTCGATTGCCTCTCCAAAATCTTGAGAGGATTCTGCAAATCCTAGTGCAATCCAAAATCTTTAAAATAGTTGGATTTTCCCATAATCTCAGGATTTTGGGTAGCCCCTCAAAAGAAAATGTTTGGAGTTAAAAGAGTTCCCCTGATGCAACAGGTTATTACGATAAGAATGCCATCGAGCCACCCACGTCCGGTACAGAAGAAAACGAGCGAGCGCATGGGCCAGCGCTAGGGTTCCAACGCTGTCGCCAGCCCCGCCTCGCTGCTCTGGACCTTGCCGGCCCGGTCCTCGCTGCCGCCAGTCTGGACTCCCGGTGCAGCCCATCTCAAACCACGGCGGCAGATTCTCAGCACACAACTCTTTCTATAATCTCAAACTGTAATCTCAAAAATGGACTCGACGGAAAATACTAGGGAAGTATATTCTCGGAGCATTTTGCAGAATTTTGATTCTGCAGAATCCTATGCGAAAAGAACTGGGCCTTAATTGCACTACACAAACAGGCTTGGATAGGTAGACATACAACAGTATGTTATTGTGCATTAACTATTACTTATATTGATTAATGGACAGCAGAAAAAATCAACTAATTAATCAAGTAGCTCTGTTGTACTAATTCTAAACCAGCTAGCTAGCTACCTTAGCCAGGAGATTAATCAAATACTAGTGCTAAGGCAGAGAGAGACAAGAGAGGAGATTGCCAAGAATCCTCTCTGGCCACTAGCTACAGCTTAACTAATAGCAACAAAAAATTAAGTTGGGCTGGCAGGCAGGTTTATTATACCAACATCCAAGCAGCTAGGAGGAGGAGGAAGACGACCAAGCTAGACCAGCCTATATATACGCACCGCACCTTAGCTACCCTTTGCTTCCCTTCCCTTCCGCCCACCTAGATTCTACCTGCATCAAGCTTCAAGCAGCTAGTACGTGCGCTTGTGCCGGCACAGTCAAGGTGATCAATGGATAGAGATTCCATGGAGGCGCCGACGTCTACGACGGCTGCGCTGGCTATGCCAAAGCCAGCGCCGGCGAGCACCAACAACGACAAGAAGGCGTCGCGGTTCAGGCGGGTATGCGTGTTCTGTGGAAGCAGCGCGGGGAGGAAGGCGGCGTACCAGTCGGCGGCGGTGCAGCTCGGGCAGCAGCTGGTGGAGCGCGGCATCGACCTCGTGTACGGCGGCGGCAGCGTGGGCCTGATGGGCCTGGTTTCCCGCGCTGTGCACGGCGGCGGCGGGCGCGTCACGGGCGTAGTGCCTCGGTCGGTTCTCCCGCGGGAGCTGATCGGCGAGACGCCCGGCGGGGAGGAGGTGAAGGCGGTGTCGGGCATGCACCAGCGCAAGGCCGAGATGGCCCGCCGCGCCGACGCCTTCGTCGCACTCCCCGGCGGCTACGGCACGCTGGAGGAGCTGCTGGAGGTCATCACCTGGGCGCAGCTCGGCATCCACGACAAGCCGGTTAGTGACCTCGCTCACCCTATGAACTCGCAAAGAACATATTTTTCTACACAGTTCATACAAATTTGGGATGAATTTGGTTAGATTTTGTGATGTCTCGTTTGATTGAGATGGATTTTGTTGAACTTTAGGTGGGATTGCTGAACGTGGACGGGTACTATGACTTGCTGCTGGCGTTCATCGACAGGGCGGTGGAGGAGGGGTTCGTGGCACCGGCGGCGCGGCACATCATCGTGGCGGCGCCCACACCCGGTGAGCTGCTAGCCGCGCTGGAGGAGTACGTGCCGGCGCACCACGACGCCTCCTCCGTGAAGCTCAGCTGGGAGTCGTCCGTGGACACCAGGACCTGCTCACCACCCAAGCCAGACATGTCACGCTAGCTAGCCTAGCCTAGCCTTGTAGTGCTGGTAGTATATATTTCTTTTCTTTTATTCATGAAGTAGAAGTACTAGTCTAGGAAAGGAGCTACCCTCCTCAACTACCCAATTAAGATTGACATATACATATACTACATCAGATTATATATTCATCCAACCAGACATACGCGTATACATACTGATATCATGAAGTTTTTGTAAGTATAGCCACTTAGTATATTGATTGATCAATTGATGATTACTCTGTGACTTGTATATGAATGTGTGTGTTCTTGCCTGCTTTGGCTTGTGCTAGTATGTGGTATCTTTTGTTCCCATTTCTGGGGAGAGATGGTGATTTGCATTTGGGGGTTCATGGCATCCACATGTATGTTCATCTGTTGCATGAATGATTGCATCGCCAAAAGATAGATCGATGATGGATGTGGCCAGCTCCCCAACAGTCGGAAAAGGTGGATCCATTCAGTCATTCATTCATATCCCTGTCTACCTGCAGTAGCCACAACTTGCAGCTTTAGCCGTGTGCGTGCATGTGTGTGAGAGGTCAGCAATTCACGCACGTGGATGCACCACCGGGCAGCAAACGGTAGTGGCCGGGGACCTTCTCTGGGGTTGAGGAAGATAGGATGCAGCCAACCAACCAGGTACTGCTGTTCATGTGCTGTCCAGTCCAATCTTATCTAATCCAAGTATCCAACCAACACACGTGGAAAGAAACCAAAGAATGGCTCACAATGCTCACTCTACTCAAGTCACCCTCACAATTCTTCTTACACTGGTCACAATGAGAAGTACCATCTCACCATGTACTAGTATATCATGCATATTATACTAGTGTGATACTACGTCCATAATGCATAGTATCATAAGTTGCTAGCATCATATATGCATCATTTACTGTCATGCATGACATAGTAGAACTCCGGTTGTGATACTCAATCCCCCCCTCCCCCTCTCTCTCCTCATTTAACTTTGTGTCACCTCAACAAAAATGCCTAGTTGGTATGCATCATACTACTAGCTACGATACTCACATTGTGACCCTCCGATTCATATTAATTTCACCGGTTTAGTACAAAGTTATTAATATGGATCGGAGGGAGTACCAGTTATCCATTTATCATCTCCTAACATTACAATTTTTTGGCACTTCATACCCTGAATTATGGTCTAGGAAACATAATTATCTCCATTGAGGCGGACGGCTAAGGCACCGGCGCGGATCTAGCATGGCAGTGGATTTGGCCCGCGGGAGCTCCGCGGAGATCCGGCTATTGCAAGGTGTGTGGTTGGTCGCTCTTATGGGGTGACAACGTCGCCATCGCGTTAGAGGTGTCTATGCCAGTGGGCTAGCGGGCCAGTGGATTGTTGATGCGTTGGGGTGGACTTCTCCGGGCAAGAGCCTCGACAATACGTCACCTATGGACGTTGCATCCTCCATGGCGTCCGTTGTGGAGCTCTTCCCTTCCCTTCACCCTCGGGTCGTGCCCTTCGGGCAAAGGCTAAGACTCTCATGCCATTCGGGTGCGACGTTGTTTCCACGCCGCTTCCCCTTTGTGGCGTCGCCATGAAGGTCATCGATCCCTCAATGTTCTCCCAGTGATGGACGAATCCCTTTGGGGCAGCAGGG